GCACAGCCATGCATAGCAGGGCGGAGCAAGACAGCACAAGGACACGCAGCAACGCAACGCACGCAACGCAGCGCGAGGCAACGCTTCATGCAGAGCAACGCGAAGGCAGTGCAGAGCGATGCAACGCGATCGACGCAGTGCAGACCAGTGCGAACCAGAGCGATCCAGTGCGCTTGCAACGCGGCGGCGGGCGGCGCCGAGCTGGCCAGACCGCCGCCCGGGCCCGGCGGCGGCTACTGCGGCGACGCGCGGCGGTCACACGCCGTCCAGAGCGGCACCGGAGCGCCCGGAGTTGCCCTAGGAGAGAAGTGCAGCTTGCCATGGGAACTCCCATGGGACCCCCAGGGGATTCCCAGGAGTCCATGGGAATTCCGCAGGGAATCCATAGAATTCCTTAGAGCCCCATGCCAAGGATTACCCTGCTTGCCTCCAGGGTGCCCTGGGCTTTTTAGGTCTCGATGGTTTTGCCATGGAAAGCGTGCCGTTCCCACGCCAAGTCGCTGGACGTCCTGGGGTCTCAGGGTTGGGTTTCTTGTGGAATGTTTCCGATGGTCGGGCCCCCACTGTAAGATGCCCGAAGGCATCCGCTGGTGCGGGAGTAAGGATAAAGTTTTGGAGGTCCGCGCGCATTTCTTGTGTCGGCACGCCATGGAGGGGGGGTGTCCAGCGCCGATCCAAGAGATCCGAGCGGACCCTCAACAGTTTATGCCTGTGTAGCTAGTCTTTAGAGGCCATGGCATCGCCCACCTGGTCTTTGCTAGGCCAAAGCTTTGTCCGCAGCGGTGGTCGCGTGTCCGCTCCCTCCGGGGGCGGCCAAGAGGGGGGTGGGTGATGACTGGGGCGGGGCAGGTATCATGGCCAGAGCCATGAAGTCTCCCTGGATTTCGCTGCCCCCTGTTCTCCTGGAGGAGACCCCACGGAGTCATGAACCAGTCACGACGGGCGGCTTCTCGCCCTTCCTCGGCCTCCGAAGGGGCCCTCACGCCGGGCCCCGGGGCCGTCCAAGAGAGCGACTCGGGATGGAACACCGGCCCCAAGGGAACGGGCCGAGGTGCCCGGGGGTCGACGTTATGAAACACTCATCACGTCGGGGGCCTGGGGAAGGAGGAGGAGGAGGAGGAGGAGGAGGAGGAGGAGGAGGAGGAGGAGGAGGGCGGAGGAGGAGGAGGGCGGAGGAGGACAAGAAGGAGAAGGAGGAGGAGGAGGAGGAGGACGAGAAGGAGGAGGAGGAGGACGAGAAGGAGGAGTCGCGAGCCCATGGAGCGACGCGCCGAGTCGGATTCGGGACGGAACAGGGGGCAGGAAAAGGTGAGAAACGCGCAATCGAGCACAGAGCGATTTCGGGCCCCAGGGCGCATTGGCCCAGCCGAAGCATCACGGCCGCGACGAGAGGTCCCGACGGAAAACGCCCAGGATCGGGGGCCAGGGACCGAAACGACCGAGGACGGATCAAAGCTAAACGAGTTAGCAGAAACAACTATATGGAAAGCAGGCCGAGCCACTGGACCGCCGAGTCCGTGACCTCGAGCCTGCGGGGGGTCGGAATGGGTGGGGCCTTCCCCCCCTTTGGGTGGGTGCCCTTCATAAAGTTGTCCCGTCTCCACTTTCGCTGGGGATTATCTTTAAGGGCAGCCTCTGGGTCACAATCCCAAAACAATTGCGTGCGCGCCGTTCTGGCCGAGAACGCCCCACACTTGCTGCACCCCACCAGGTCCCCAGACAGATACAGGACATGGCCCCGAGCGCTCGCGGGAGGGACCTCCCCCGAGCGTGGCAACGGGGCTCTGGGCACCACCGCGTCCGCTCTGGACGGCGGCGTGCCCTTCCACGCTCGCTTCACGCCCCGCGAGGTCGCCGCACCCACCGCGCCCCTTATGGCCTCCTGGGGCCGCTCAGGTCCCTCCAGGACCTCCGCGAACCTGACCCTCGGACGAGGTGCGACGGGGGTCGGCGGCGGCGGCGAGGAAGGGGGAGGCGAGGCGAGGTGAGGCGAGGGAGGTCGAAGCGAGGGAGGAGGAGAGGGGTGGGCCTCTGGAGTCCCAGCAAGCCCTTGGGGAGCGCCCCCGACCGATCCAGAACGGCGCTCACGCTCGAGCGAGGGGAGGACCGAGGGGGAAGGAGGCTCCACGAGAGGAGGAGGAGGAGGAGGCGGGGGGGAGGTGACCCGAGGTCTAACATCCCTGTGAGACGATGACGCCCCGCCCTCCAGACGTCCTCCTCCTCTGGCTGGGCAAACCTCCCTCCTGAGCCTCTCGAGGCCCCTACGCGATCTGGCAAATCGAGGGCAGTGCATGCAGCGCCAGCCGCGGCCTGCCGCTACTACCTGGTGTCTTTTACTCTGCTCGCGGCCGCAGAGGCCGTCTGGTCCAGCCGACTGCGCCCGAGCTGGCTGAACGCGCCCGCCGCGGCGAGCCTTCCTGCCCACGGTGGCGACCCTGTCGAGCTGGTCGCCGACGCCGATGTCCACCTGGCAGCTGCCTATCCAGGCAGCGACCTGCCTGACCGCCTTGAGCAGCCGCTTGTGTTCCTCGTAGGCGTCCTCGGGGAAGCCGTGGAGCGCCGTGCCCTTCTTGGCGGCCGCGTCCGCGAAGTCATTCCCAACCTTGTCGATGCTGTCGCCTGCCTCCAGGGACGTCTGATGGCCCTCGACCCACGTGATCTGCAGGTCTTCGCTGAGCCCGCCCAAATCCTCGATCGCATGCCAGAGCTGCCGCCACAGGTCTGCATTGTCCCTCCTCACGTGCGTGCAATGCTCCTTGCCGAACGCCAGCGACTCTACGAGGCCCAGGCAGTCGGTCTTGATGTGCAGCGGGAGGTGACCGTGCTTGAGCACCTGGAGCACGGCATAGATCTCGCCCCGCTGCGCTGTCTGCTGGGGCCCTGGCAAGGGGCCGAAGGCCATGCCACGAAGGCGCCTGCCTGCTAAGATGGCAATGCCCCATCCTGCACGGCTCGCCTCAGGCCAATAGAATGGTGACCTGGCCGATCCATCAGTGAACACTTCTCCTGTGATGTCCATGGTCTGGCCTCCCATGCAGTACCACCACCTCTGCGTGTCCAGGGGTGGCGGAATATCTGGGAGTACTGCTCGAGGAAGCAGCGCCCTGGTGTAGAAGGGGTCATTAGGGGAAGCCTCCTTAACCATGTCCACTATCAAATCATCCACAGCAGCTGTCCTCGTATCTGCACAACGGGGGCACTTCCAAAATCTGTGGTGTAAATCGCCAACAACGTCTCCGCAATACTGGCACATCTGAGAGTCCGCGTAGCCTATGGTGTAGAGGCGCTGTTGCGACCATTGCGCTCCAATGATGGTGGACCTGAGGGCGCCTCTGGCCTTGGGCTGCAAGTTCCAAGTAGACGCCTCAGGAGGTGCGTGCATCATGGCTGCGATCGGCTCGATCCAGTAACCTCGCGGGTCGCGTGGGGCAGGTGGGTGTTCAGCTGCATGTTCCACTTTGGATGCCCACTCCTCCCACTTCACCGATCTGTAGCTGCGTCTCGCCATCGTGCGCACCCACTTGGGTGCAACCTCGTCCAGCTTCAGCGTGATGCCGTTTCCCGTCTCCCAATGCGTGGCTGAATGCGCCCTCCAGCCCAGACGCCTAAGGTTGAGGGTGACGGCGCCTGCAGGTCCCGCGATGGAGCTCCATGGGGCCGATGCCGATGCCAAAGCTGCCGACTGAATCTTCCACGCGCGCTCGATCGTGTCCATGGGGATCTTCTGGTCGAGCACCAACTGCGCCCAAGTGAAGATGGGCTCCACGGCCGCCATCGCATCAGGCATCTGGTTGGGACCTTCTTCCAAGAGCGATGCAAGCCATGTGGATGAAGCCGTGGGTGTCTTGCTCCAGCCTGTGCGGACCACGTTCGTCATCATGGCTACCGTGGCTGGCGGGGCCCCCACCGCATGGGGGCCGTAGGTCATGCCAGGCGCCAAGCATGGCCGAGCGATCCGCTTGGCCAGCTTCGCCATGCCTTTGAGCTTCCTGAACCTCGGGATCCGCTCCTTGATTTTCCGGACGCGCTTGTGGATCTCCATGTAGGTCAGACGAGCCCCATGCACGACATTCCAGGCCAAGGACGCTCAGCTTGTTGACCACCTGAAAGCCATACTGAGAAACTCCTCGAACCACTTGCGCTGCGATGTCCTCCGCTGACCCCAGGATCTTAGCCTTGTCTTTGGCGATGGGAAGCTCAAGTGCTTGGAGGACCACCGCCAACCTGCCGATAGCCGCCTGAGCTGCCTGGACAATCTCATTCGCCTTCATCATGATCTGAAGCGTGATATCATCTGCATAGATGTCCAGGGTGCGCGGTATCTGCGTGATCGACGCCTGATAAATATCGAAGGGCAGGATCATGATCAGTTGCAACAAATGCATTGCCACCGAGCAGCCAGGTAGGGCCCCTTGCGTGGCCCTGACGGCATATGAGAAGTTCGTCCCCCATCGAATGCGCCTCGGAGCGGCATACATGGCCAGGACACTGCGCAGGACGCTGAGCGGAAACCCAACGTGTTTGGCGGCCTCGATGATCTTGATCCACTTGAGCCTGTCGAAGCACTTGCTGATGTCCATCGGGGCTGTGATGATGGCGTCCTGGTCTCTTGCGTCGGCTGCCTCAGCGTAGACCATTGTGCGCGCACCCACATCTATCGTAGATCGTCCTGAGCCCAGCGCGAGGTAAGGACGCGTGTGGTTGGCCGCCCACCTGCGCACGTGGGCGATCCTGATCTTGGTGTACACCCTGTAGATGGACGGCAGCAAGGCTATCGGCCTGAAGCCGCCTTGGGGCTTCGCCAACAACATCACGTGAATGGCCATGATGGTGGTGGGCCATCGCCCCCAGGCCTCCGCAGCCCATAGAAGGTACACGAGCATGGCCACGGCGTCGTCGACCAAAAGAGAGTACGCTCGTGGAGGCATTGCGTCAGCACCAAGTCCCGTCTTCCACGCAAAGGATCTCGAAGCACGCCGTACGTCATCGATCGTGGGTACCTGCATGGCCTCGCATGGTAGGGTGCGGATGAGCTTCACCAGGTCGTCCTGGCTGTCTGCAATGTGCTCGACGTCGAACTCGTTGTCGCCGAGGCTGACGGCACAGGTGATGCTGCCCACGTCCTTGTAGATGATGTCCTTATCCGCAGCTTTGGAGACCTTTGTACCTTGCCATATGTCATTCCACATGTCCATCTGGCTGTCTGCTACTGCTTGAGGAAGCGCTGAGCGAATACCGAACCTGTCTACCTCATTGTGCGCCCGCCCCTTCAGCTTGGTCATGCCGGAGACTGGGGAGGCGCCTGTGATCAGCGCGTCCTGGGCCCACTTGTGAAAGCTCTTGGCCCTCTTGTTGGCTGCCTGCTGCTCGAGAACCTTGGCATGGCCTTCGAAGGTCAGGGCGAGAGCTTTGACAAACAGGATGTACTGTGAGGCCTCCAGTCTGCACGCATAACGTAGAACAGGCCAAGCCCACTCGAACAGCACCACGCCCTCCGTCGCGTGGATGTCCTGACGATGACCTGGCCGAAGAGCCCTCGTGATGCGCGCCCAGTTGGGCCCAATAAGACCTGGACCCCGACGCCTCGGTGGGGTAGGTCCCTCCCGATCGCCTTGGTCTTGATCGTCGTGCCCTCTCTCGTCGCGAAGCCCTCCTCGATCTGGCCCTTCGTCGTGTCCATGTGGCTCCGCCTGCTGCTCAGCCATGCCAGCGACAAACTTTAAATTAGCGCTGGAGCCCGAGCCGCCGACGTCGCCTGAATGAGTAGAATTCCCAAGGGAAGCTGCTGTCCTTGCTCGATGCCGTGGTGATGCCCGCTTCTCAGCCATGCCGACTGCAATCTTCAAATGAGAGCTGGAGCCCGAGTCGTTGGCGTCACCTGAATAAGTAGATGTCACGCGAGAAACTGCATCCTTGTCACGATCACGTGGCGCCGTCCGCTGCGCAGCCATGCCAGCATCAAACTTCAACTGAGAGCTGGAGCCCGCGATGCCGACGACGCCTGAGTAAGTCGAAGCCGATGTGGTAGCTGGCGAAAGATGACCTGTTGGCTCTGCCCTTTCAAGTTGAGCGGCCAGGTCTTGCAGCGCGAAGGTCACGTTGCGCATGCAGCGGGCTTCGGGGCCAGCTGCTGGAGCCCCTTTGAGGATGGGCCCTCCCGCTGGACGCCAGACATATGCAGGAGCTTCCGCTCTACCACAATACTTCTCGCGATCCTGCACGTCCACCTGGTTGATGTGGCAGAGGTCCTGCTCCACGAACGAGATGAAGTTGGCGTGGAGGCCGTCGAGCCGCCGCTGTGCCTGATCACCATCTTCAGGTTGTCCCAGATCCGCATCTTGCCTGACCACGTCCAGGTAGGGTTGCAATTTGGGCGGTCCATACAAGGGACTGGCCCGTGAGCACCGCGGCGCCTGCTTGGGGAAAGGCTTGGGCGCCTTCAGGTGCATCTGCATGTGCGCCCTGGGCTTCGCGTCGAGATCCATGCGCACAGGATAGTGGGGCCTCGGGACCCAAGAGTCGAGCACGTAGGGGACGCCACAAGCCTTCGCAAAGTCAGGTGAGGCCAGCCAGTAGTCGATGGTGCTGTAAGTGCCCGTCTTTGCCGAACGACAAGTGCCCGACGTTTGAGTGGCCACCGCAATGGCAGGCATGATCTGCAAGAAGCCCAGCACCTCCATGTTGGCAGGCTCCGTGTTCCAGTCACCTGCGAAAATGAAAGGGGCGGAGAAGTAGCGCATGCTCTCCGCGATGCGCATGAGCTTCTGATAGTTAGCGGTGAGAAAGTCGGGGTCTGGGACCGACTCCATGTACGCCGACCCGACGATGAAGCCTCCCTTGATCCCAGCATGTACGTGTACTGCCACCGCCCACGAACGTACGATCTCGAACCCATCCGTAACGCCCCCAGCACCACTAAGAAGAGTAGTGGATACATGCGCCCTGACAAAGATCCCCACGCCCGCGCTCGGCAGCTTGGAAGCCAGGCGCCTGCACGGACTGAATGGCTGCCATCCATTTCTCGTCGCCCATGTTCGCGCCTGATCCAACGCTTCGCCATCAAGTCGAAGTTCCTGAGCCGTTACCACCAGCGCATCTGTCGCTCCATTCTGCCAAAACTGCTGGCACGATCGCCAGCAATACCCATTGAATGTGACAACCCCCATGCTGGTGCGCGCCCTGCGGCGCGTGGCTCGTCTACGTGGTGCCCGCAAACTCCCGCGCTGCCGCTGCTGCTCCTGCTGGCGTCGGTGCTGCTGCGACTGGTGGTGCTGCTGGTGCACGTGCTGCGCCTGGTGCTGCAGGCGCTGCGGCTGCTGTGACTGCTGCTGTGTGGGCGCCGACGCCAGCGGGCTGCCCGCCCGCGGTGCGAAAGGCCTCAACCTCCATCGCCGTCTGGCCTGGCGGAGACGGCCTCGGCATTGCGTCCCCCGGCGTGCGCACGTGTCCCACCAGCTGCTCCAGGATGGCACCGCCCACGATGTTGCGGTCCTGGCCCTGCTGGATGGAGTTGTGGGCTGTCTGGAGAAGTTGCTGAAGCGCCGCCACCGAAGATGCCGCATCGCCGCCCAGTGGTGCGGTATGTGCCGCATTGGCCAGCTGGGCCTGCGCCACCTCCTCGTTGGACTCCACAAGCTGCAGCTTGACGCGGTCCAGCCTGTCGGTGGCCGATTTGAGTTGGGCTGCCAGGGCGTCGACCTCCGTCTGGAGCTTTGCACGCCCCTCTTCACGCGCTGCCTGCCTGTCCAGCGCCGAGCGGAGCACGTCGGCAGGCGCCATGTGAGCCCGCTCTTGTGCTTCGGCCTGGCTGAGCTCGGCCTTGGCAGCCACGACGAGGGAGTGCTCTTCGTCATAGATGCTGCGCAGCGCCTTGAGGGCCTTACGGCACTTGGCCACCGCGTTGGACTCCGCGGTGCCCCCGCCGCCAGCCCCAGGAGGAGCGCCGCGAAGATGGCGACCGCCGCCAGCGCCCAGCGAGCGAGGCCTGGACGCCGAGCGCGGCCTGGTGGGCTGGCGGGCCCCCTTGGCTCCCGTAGGCCGGCCCTGGCGGTCGAGGCCGCAGGCCCAGCAGGTCTCGCGGGTCGCGAAGTTGTTGGCGAACCCGCACGCCCGCGTGGCCGCGCATGCCCACACAGGGCCACCGCCGCCACGCCCCTGAGCTGTGCGCCAAGGGGCTCCATGGGCCGCCTCGTCCTGCGCCATGGCCTCGCCGTGGTGGCCAGCCAGCGTCCTGCGGGCCTCCGCGACGCGAAGGACCTGGCGAGCCTCCGCGCGGCGCCGCCGCTGCCGCCTGTGCCAGGCTGGCGACGGCGAGCGCCGTCGAGGCGAGCGGCCAGCCGTCGTCGAGGTGCACCAGCGCCCGCAATCGCCGCGGGCCGCCGGCGTCTGGGGCCAGATGGACGCCCCCCCCGCGCGCCCCCGCGCGCGTGGGAGCCCAAATGGCAGCCTGGACGAGAAGGAGGAGGAGGAGGAGGAGGAGGAGGAGGAGGAGGAGGAGAAGGTTCGGGAGGGATGACGGGGGCCCGGGTTCCCAACTGGGGCCGGGAGCACGGCGCCCCCAGCTGTGGCCGCGCGGCGCCGCCCAAGCGGCCACGGCGGGCCTCGGCTGCCCGCCGGCCGCCGGCGCCGCCGGCGCCGCCGCCATTTTCGGTGTCGTCTTCGTCGGCGCGTTGCGCGCCGCCGTTGCGCTCCTCCTCGTCCTCCTCCACGTCCTCCTCCACGTCCTCCTCCTCCTCCTCCTCCTCCTCCTCCTCCTCCTCCTCCTCCTCCTCCTCCTCCTCCTCCCCCTACTCCGTCTCCTCCTCTTCCTGCTCTTCTGCCTCCTCCTCTTCCGCGTCGCGCGCCGCCGTCGCGCTTGTCTGGAAGAACATCCTGCCCTGTGACCCAGACCCCCTCGAGTCATGAAACAAAACACGACGGGTGTTTCTTCGCCATTTTCGGCATCTGGGGGCCCTTACTGGGCCTCGGAACCGTGAAAAGACGACTCAGGATGCAACAACGGTGCCTGGCAATGGGTCAAGACCTCTGGAGGTTGACGTCATGGAGAAATCATGAAGTCGGGGGTCTGGGGATCGCGGGTTGTTCTTCAATCCCACGACTTCCTGTGAGGGTTTGGGACGACGTCGGGGTAAGGGAAGCATCGACAAAATGTATGCACCAGTATCCCGTAGACGCCCCGACCCGCTTTCCTGTGCGAGCTTCAGTGCGGGGCCAGAAGACGCGTCCGTGCGTATATAGAGATCGGCTCCTTCCGCAGGCCCTGAGCTCTCGGCGTTGCACTTCTTGCCAGAACAAGGGCGCTTCCGCCCGGTGTGTGGGCCCCGGGCCCTCGCAGCTCGATCCCGCTCGAAGAAGGACGCTGCTGCTGCTGCGGAGGGGGAGGAGGAGGAGGAGGAGGAGGAGGAGGAGGAGGAGAGAGGAGGAGGAGGAGGAGGAGAGAGGAGGAGGAGGAGGAGGAGGAGGAGGAGGAGGAGGAGGGGAGGAGGAAGAGGGGGAGGAGAGGAGGACGAGGAGAGGAGGAGGAGGAGGAGGAGGAGGAGGAGGAGGAGAATGAGGAGGAGGAGGAGGAGGAGGGGGGGGGGAGGAGGAGGAGGGGGAGGAGGTCGAGGAGGAGGGGCGGAGTAGTCGGAGGAGGGGGAGAAGGAGGAAGAGGAGGAGAGGAGGAGGAGGAGGAGGAGGAGAGGAGGAGGAGGGGGAGGAGGAGGGGGGGGGAGAGAGGAGAGGAGGAGGAGGGGAGGAGGAGGAGGAGGAGGAGGAGGAGGAGGAGGAGGAGGAGGAGGAGGAGGAGGAGGAGGAGGAGGAGGGGGAGGAGGGGGAGGAGGAGGAGGAGGAGGAGGAGGAGGAGGAGGAGGAGGAGGAGGTGCCAAGTATTTCGCAGCGCAGCGCCGGCTCTCAGAGAGACGTGCGCGCCACGTGCGGCCGAGACAATGGCAAGCGACGTCGACAAGCAAGGGAGGACCCCTGCCCCAAGAGCAGAGACGACGAGCAGAGACGACGTCAGAGGAACACGTAAGTCGGGCATGTCCCTCTACAGGAGGAATATTCAAGAATAGTCAAAGCATAGTCGGGGGACGATTGTGTGACTATTTTGAATCTGTGCTGGATATGTTCGAGTTTTTGATTTTTCGTCCACAGTCCGCCTGTAGGAGGACATGCCCGACCTAAAACACATGCATACTTTCCCGGAGGTCCGCGCGGATCTCTTGGATCGGCCTTGGGCCCCACTGGCGGCGCCTCGGGCGCCACCCCTGGCCCGCTCCGCGCGCCTGGGAGAGCGCGAACCTCCGAGACGCCCGCCACCGTGCCTTGTGCACGTCGAGGCTTGGAAGAATGTCAGCGTCTACCTGCTAGGGTTCTTGGACTCTAGCGAGGGGCCGCCCCTCCTCTACCAGCGGACCTCGTGCGCGCATACCCCCCCAACTCACCGAGGCCACTTCCCTCGTGCCCGCTCGAGGATGGGTGCACTTCCCGCATGGAGTCCCTACCCCCCCTCTCCACGTTTGCCCGCTCGAGGATGGTAAACTTCCCGCATGGCAGCTCATGCCTGAACCCCCATTCCACGCGTACTTCCGCATGACGGCTAATGCCTGATCCCTCATTCCATGCGCACCCGGTCGAGGATTGCGCAGTTCCCGCAGGGCTGCCACCTCCTAGACCCGTCATCCCAAGCTCCCGCTCGAGGATCGCGTACGTTCCAGACACCCTGGCGCTGCTGCCACGCGCCCCAAGGCCTCCCAAGCGACGAACCTCCGTGAAATTACCCAGGAACGTACCCAACCCTTTCTAAACACGTAGTGGCTATACCCAAGACTGCCCAATACAGGCGAACATGTTGAAAGAGCCGCAGTGCGCAGAAGCGGCCAGAAGTGAAATCAGATGCGCGCAGCAGCGAGGGCAATGACAGCCACCCGAAAAATGGGCACAGAGCGGCGCTGCTGTAGGACAAGCGCCCAAGAACACTTGAAACAAGAGGGCCGCGGCGGCAAGGGCAGGGGGCAGCGAGACGAGCACAGCAGATGCTGCACACGAACAGGGCAGCGCGACGAACCAGAAGAGCACCCCAGAAGTGCAGACCGAAAGGGCGCCCGGCTCCAGCCCTTTGGCCCGCCGCCCCCCCGCCGTGATGCGGCGGGCCGCGCCGTGGCCGTGCCGCCCCTGGGCCTGGGCGGCGGCCGCCCTCCTCCGCGGCCCGGCGGCCGCCGCCTCGTGGGTCGCGGCGGTGCGGGGGCCGTGCGAGCAGGTCGGGGCCTGCGTGCAGAGCCCGAACTACCCGGGACGGTGCGCGGCTGCACGCGCACACGTTGCTCACGTCTGCTTCTTCGGGAGGCCTCTCGGGGGTATCTTAGGAGGCCAGGATCCTCTCATGTCTGATGCCTCTGTCCTGGGCCTCTTCCTGGCCACCAGGGGGCCAGGAACAAGCAGAGACACGAGCACAAGCAGAAACGAGCACGATGAGAAATGAACGACGTGTCAGAGTGACCCTTCGCTGGAGTGACCTCTGGTGCGGGCCCAGTGGGGCACCCCGATCGCCAAGCACGATGCGACAGCAGCGGCCTGCGCGCCCGGCGGTGTCCCCGAAGGGCCCCCCACACTGGGCCGCGCACCACAGGTCACTCTTGCCCAGGGTCGCTCTCCTGCGTGTAGCCGAGGTACGGTGGCCAGCAGAGCTGCGAGATCTCCGTGAACCCGTGGGCGCAGGAGAGCGTCAGCGCCATCCGCTTCCGCAGCGAGAGGAACTACGACGTCCTCACCGTGAACGGGAAGCGCTATTCGGGCCACTTCTCGCGGGGCCCGCAGGACGTCGTGGCAACCGGGGCGATCCTGTGGAGCTCT